CCCGGCCCGGCTCCCGCGGCCGCCGACACCACAAACAACGGCGCGGGGCGGGGCCGCTGTCCCAACGTTCGGGGGCCGCGAGCCGCCGCCGCTGATTGGCCCGCGCCGCTCGGCCTGCGCCCGGCTCCGGTGCGGACGTTCGATTCGAATCCTGCGGCCTGCGGCCCGCACTGTTTCTCTTTTCGCCCGGCCGCGCCCATTGGCGGAGCTCGGCGCCGTGGAGCCGCCCGGCATTGGTCGGCCGCTGTGTTTTGGCTCTTCCGGGCTCCTGGTTGGCCGCGGCCGGGAGTTTGGGGCGGAGCCGCGCTCGTTGATTGGCCTCCCGTGGGCCTGTTTGAACTCAACTTGAAAACCTTGAGTGTCTGCTGATTGGCCGAGGGCCCTGTGTTTGCTGTTGTAGGCTTGGGGGTGGTGCGGCCAAGTTCATTCATTACTTCATTGAAACTGTACATGCTCAGCTGGAAAAGCAAGACAGAGTGGCTTTGACTCATTTCCTCTGAAAGATGTGGTCATCTCGAGAAACAGAATGATCAAAATAGAAAACAGAGGCTTTGCAGCTGCTCAAGTCTCATAGTTGTTTATTTTTTTAAAACTTTCGAACAGCTCTCCTTTTTTTTTTGCCTTTTATTGAAATATAAGGTACCTGCTTTCTGCCTTTCGATCATTACCCTCCCCAAAGGCCAAACAAACTTTTCCTAGTTTTTAGACCAAAAACTTTTGCTCTCTAAAGATATAAACCGATGTTAACATACACTAAGTATAATTGCAAGGGGGGAAAAATGAGACTTTCTCAGTCACTAATAGCCCAAGCTGCGAATTTTTTTTTCCTTAAATCAATTGGCCTAGCTGAAGCTAAATTTCTACCGTCTTTTTGAATACAGTGTTCCTATATGGCTACTGGCTCTCAACCCTAGCCATTTAAAAACCAGATTTGTTTATATGTGCTGAGCTATCATCTTCTGGATAAAAATTTGGCTTTTAGGGGCACCTGGTTGGCTCAGTAGGAAGAGCGAGCCACTCTTGATCTCGGGGTTGTGAGTTCAAGCCCCAGGTTGGGTGTAGAGATAACTTAAAAATAATATCTTTAAAAAAAAAAAAAAAGGATTGACCTTCAAGGCTTTGTTTGGGTATTGTGGGGGTGGGGAAAGAACTAGGAGTTTAAGTGGATTAAGGAAGGGACAGAGAAGTCAGGAAGGTAAATATTACTAGGGATTCACTGTTAGAATTTCAGTTTCTGAAAAACTTGGTAAGTTTTGGATCTGAAATACCAATTACACACTATGTTTAAATTAGTTCAGGGTTGGGGCACCTGGGTGGCTCAGTTAGGCGTCCGACTTCAGCTCACGTCAGGATCTCCGAGTTCGTGGGTTCCAGCCTCCGCATCAGGCTCTGCACTGACAGCTCACAGCTCAGAGCCTGGAGCCTGCTTCAGATTCTGCCTCCCTTTTTCTCCGCCCCCCCCCCCCCCACTGGTGGTGTTTGTGTATCTCTCTCTCAAAAATAAAATATTACGTTAAAAAAAAATTTTTTTTTTTTTAAATCAGTTAAGAGTCCGCAGAATAGGAGGCTGGAAGAAAGCAAGCCACGGGTCTATTTTGACTTTGCCTACAGCGGATTTAAGTCTCTAGCTAAGAAAACCTGACCGTATAAAAAAATAAAATAAAAATAAGAAAGAAATTACACCCAGTGTTTATGTCCTGATGTAAAACAGCCCCAGCCTCGGGTGTTACAGTGAGCTTATCCCGTTCGGTCTTTTTGTTTGTTTACTTGCTTGTTTGTTTATTTTGAAGGGGAAGGCGTCAGCTCTTTGCTTCTTTCACCATAATTAAGCGCACATGGGCTGAGACCCAGCGTGGCTGGAGAGTCGAGCACGGCTTGCAGCCCTTCCCTTCCAGTAATTGCAAGGTGAAAACAAAAGTGAGCAGCCAGCAGCTTGTATTGCCAGGGAGCTCAGGCCACAAGCAGCCTCAGAACAAGGAAGTACTGTCATTGTGGGGCTCTAGTTTTCACAAGTACATACAGGTGGCAAACGTGTCAGGACCGTGAGTAGTAGGATTGACCCGGGCAGAGGCATTTCAGCCTGCAGGAGCCCTTAGGTCTTAATGAAGAAATTCTCCAGAAAGACAAGAATCCTGAAAACGCCAAGGTTGCCAAACCTTCCCCTGCCCCCACCCCCACTCCGGTTCTCAAGGAGTTAATTCTGAAGGTTTCTTCAAGGTTTACCATTGGCAGGTACCCTGATCACAGCTATGGGCACCTGAGAAAGGCGTAGAGGACAACCCCTCCCCCCCCCAAGCCAGAGGGGCTCCACTTGTGTGTGCGTAAGGCCACTCAGGGCAGAGAGAGGGAGAGCAACCGAGTTCTGCCTCTGACTTGTGGCCGTGAGAGGTGGAAATGCTCTGTCAATACTTTGGCTTCTGAGGCTCTGGTTGGAGATGAGCGGGGCGGGGGGAAGGGCGTCTTCTTCCCAGGCTGGCTAACATAGGAGTGTCCCTGTCCTGGGAGCGCAGGGAGAATGAGTGAGGTCATGTTTGTAGAGGGCTTTGAGCTGCCGGGATGAAAGCGACTCTCCGAGTGCAAGGTATTATTAACTGAAGGTATCATTATTTTAATCTGAGAGGACCATGTGCAGCACGTAAAACAGAGCCATAAAAACATGCCCATTAATAACAAAACAGTAGGAGCCTCCGAAGGAACAAACTCTTGGTCCCATCAATGGTCTAAACTCCAGAAAGAGCCGTGATGCGGCACCTGGAAGAGAGACAGACCTAGCCAGTATTTCCTCGGGCGGCTCACAAGGAAATTGTGACTGTAAGTCGGCGAGTGCTGAGACTGGGTGCTGAGACAGGGCAGCAACAGCTGGACCGCAGCAAACCACTGCCGCCTACCCAGCACTTCTAGTGGGCCAGGCACCTTTCTAAGAGTTCGACGTCAGCGGACTCCTTTCAATCCACACAATCCGGAGTCCCCTAGCACCAGCTGGGCAGGTAAGGCACCTGGGAGGGGAGGAGCCTCCCCAAGGTCACAGTAGTAAGCAGTGGGGTGAGGCATTGGCTCCAGACTAGTTCCAGAACCTCGCGGTAACCCGTTATAGCACACTGGCCGCCTTCCTGCCGGAATGGTTGCCCTTTCCACACGAGGGCTGTCAAGGACATTGGGATTTCCACTGAGTGAACCCCCGGTGGGGAAAAGGGGGCATCAGCTGGTGGAGGAGGGGAAGGGCCGGCTCAGCAAGTGGGGCTCAGGTACTGACAGGTGTGGGATGGCTCCCTTCCCCCGTCTCGGACTTCCCATGCTATTTATCGCTAGCCTTTGCTTGCTTAACACAACCTATTTCGTGCTACTCCTTTTCGGTGGAAATGTACGCTATTTCTACTATATGGAAGGTTCGGTTGACTTTGCCACTTTGAAGCATGAAGTTTTTTCTGGTCTGTCTCCTTAAAGAGGATGGGGACTAGTACAGGAGTGCTTCCTCTACTCCAGGCAAATCCCAGTTCTCTGATAACTGAGATTTGTGTTTGTGGAGAAGGTACTATGAACCCAGCTCTGTGCTGACTCCCTTGTTTGAATTACTTGATCTGACACAACCCAGTGAGGTGGGAAACCCTGTACACCCCCAATTAGCAAATGAGAAAAGCAGGATCAGAGAGGTTAAGTGACTTGCTCTAGGTCACTCAGCTAGCTCAGAGCGGAACTGAGCTCTGAACTCAGGTACCTGTGTTTGCACCCAAACCTGGTGCTCTTAAATATCACATGCTACTTTCTAGCTCTGCCTACTCCCCTGGAATCCACTTTGGCGTCTCCCTTAGTGGTACTAAAAAGATCAGATCGAAAAGCTTGTCTCCATTGCTGGAAGTCGCAGGTAGGTCAAGGCCATTCCCCAGGTGATGAGTTCTTGCTGGTTTATACCAGATTACATTTTCACCAAATGTCACATGTCCCACAAGGGACAAAGGCCGTACCACTCCCAACATAGTTAATGGCATTTCCCAAAAGCAGCCCTGATGGCCTGTACTCTCTGTCCTACGCCAGCCCAGCGATAAGGAGGCCCTGCCCCTGCTTGCCAGGTATGTCTCACGGTAGGTAGGTGAGGCTCTGGCAACTTTTCGAAGGGACCCCAGAAGCTAGGTCTTTGCCAAGGGGGAGAGAAAGGCAGGGCAGAGAGACAAATTTCCTTTTTAAAAAAAAATTTTTTTTAGATATTTATTTATTTTTGAGAGACAGCACAAGTAGGGGAGGAGCAGAGAGAGAGAGAGAGAGAGAGAGAGAGAGAGAGACAGAATCTGAAGCAGGCTCCAGGCTCTGAGCTGTCAGCACAGAGCCCGACGCGGGGCTCGAACTGACAAAGCATGGGATCCTGACCTGAGCCAAAGTCAGAAGCTCAACCAACGGAGCCACATAGGCGCCCCCTGACCCACCCTTTGATTGATTGATTGATTTCTGAGAAATATATCATACACCAAGAGTTTGTGCATAATCTATGCACAGTTCGAAGAATATCGAACAATCACCCACGCACCCAACATAGAACTTAAGATGTCCAAGACTAGCACCTTTGAAAACGTTCCTAAGAGCTTCTCCAAATGCATACCTTTCTTTCTTTCCCAGAAAGACTCCTAAGCCTCAAATTTGCATTAATCACTCCCTTGCTTTTCTTTGTCATTTAATCCTGTATGTAGGTATCTCCAAACAATGCACTGTGGGTGTGACTGATTGGATTGCTTCCTTTGCATAAGTGGCTCGCCCCTTTTGTGTGCTCAGTCTCTCCCTCTATTAACTCTGCTGGGTGAGCTCAGTGGACCCTCCTTACCAATATGGGCCGCTGGCAGATGGGGCTGGCTCTCTTGTTCTCTTTTCCATGACCCCAGACAGCAGCTCTGATCCAAACTAGCATCACAGGTGGTAAGGAGATAGGGAGGCTCCTTTGAGGAGGAAGAAGTGAAGCTGGGAAGGATTGGGGTAGGTAGAAAGGAGAACGAAAGGTATTTTTCAGAACAGGAAACAGTGCTAACTATAGCACAGAAGTTACTTTGTAATTAAATTTTTTTTTCAACTTTTTTTATTTATTTTTGGGACAGAGAGAAACAGAGCATGAACGGGGGAGGGGCAGAGAGAGAGGGAGACACAGCATCGGAAACAGGCTCCAGGCTCCGAGCCATCAGCCCAGAGCCTGATGCGGGGCTCGAACTCACGGACCGCGAGATCGTGACCTGGCTGAAGTCGGACGCTTAACC